GACATCTGATTCCTAGCACGTATAAATGTTTATTACCTCTGGTCACCAGCTGCAAATGGCAGCTAATGCTTCGCAGCAGAGCTGAGCATGAAGCTGTCCAGGCTGCAGAGTGCTGGGAAGCTTCATATAGGTTTCAGCCCCTAAAACAATCCATGTTAAACATGATAAGGCGGTAACCTAAACTTCCTCAAAAGGCCGCTCTTGTTCCCTGAAGTGAAAATATTGGGTTGGTGTTACATTGATTCAGGCTGGTGTGGAAGAAATGTTGAACCTGCAGCGCGGGCTGTGGCCTGCACGTAGGTGGTCCTTCCTTATCTTGGACAGAGGGAATGAAGAAGATTGAAGTAGCTCAAAGTTTCAGTATGAATAATCAAGATTCAACTGTGTCTGCTCAGTTACTGCAAAGAAGTCCAGTAGTAACAAGCACTTATTCCCTTTGTTTACATGGTTTATATAAATTTAGGGGGACATAATAAAAAAGATTTCTTTTATTAGTAACAATTACATTAATAATAAAAAAAAAGGGCTATAAAAGAAAAAATCCAAGTGTTGATAAGCTAAAATAAAGAAAAAATCAGGATACAAAAAGACCAGAAATCCACTTATTAAACCACTTATGCCCTATGATGTTAATGTTTCAATCTAATGAAAGCTTAAACCTTAAAAGCTGGGCTGCCCCACAACACCGAGTGAACCAGCTATACAAATTGAAGTTGTAATACAGGAATATGCACCACTGGAAAAACAAGCTGACAAAGGTGAGAGGGTATAGCACACCTGGAGGAAGAGCAGGGCTCTGAGAAATACAAATGGAAAAGGTGAGAAATAAGAGGAGAGCTAAGGTAAACTTTTTTAAAAAATTATTTTATTTTTTTTCCAACAAAGCTGACTCGAAGTGAATTGCATCAGCACAGCTGTATAGCACTGGTTCCCACCTGTGGAAGGCTTCAAGCTAACTGGAGATATAGTGCTTGACAGAATGTGTGAGATAGGATATAATTCAGTGCTGGATATCTTTCCAAATGAGGAATGGGAAAAAAAAAAAAAAGAAAAAAAAAAAAAAAAGAAAAAAAGAAAGAAGAAATGTATAAGTGCTTCTGTGATACAAGTTGAAAGTAGTTTAGGATTCAGCATGACTCAGGCATAAAAGCTTGCCCTGTCCTAAAGCTGCTGGCTTTAGGAAGCTCCTTAGCTCCTCAAAAGAAAAGTAAAAGCGTAAGTAGTAATGTAAGCATTTCCAGTCTGTGTCTCAGGACACAGAAAGAGAATATTAGATTAACTGCTGTTTAACTGAGTATTTTTTCACCATGTACTGTTAATCTGTTCATAATTTACGACTTTGTTTTTTGCTTTTGTGAGTGTCTTTTCATATTTCAGGTCTGCAGGTGATATTCTCCATCAAGTTCTGTATTGCTGACACCTGAGGCATTTCATTAGCATTTAAATGAACCTTAAGCGCCTAAGTAATTTTGTGATAGGGCTGCATTTGTGTGGCTAGCTGTCTGTTGCATTTAATTAAATTCTGGACTTCTTCCTTCCTTGTTCAGAGGACAAAATGCAAGTTCTGTCTGAAATCCAGCAATAGGAGGAAGAACAGGCAGGCCATAGTTTTGCCTGCTGCCAAGGTTTGTCCTCTACTCACTATCTCTCTTTTCACTATTCAGCCCTAATGAAAAGCTTTCTCAAGAAGGAGAATGTTTGAAAAGTGACCAGGGATGGTGAACTCTCAAACTGTCTCTGGGGCTTATTTGTCACAAAGCAGGGGATGACAGGCTGACAGCTGCGAGCAGCGTAGGCTTTGGCATGGCCTGGCTGTGCACAGTGGCTCTGGGGATGCCTACTGCTCTGTCTCCTTCAGTCCTGGGGGATTAGTCCTGAGATTAATTGTTCAGCTGGCTGAGCAAACAATTCCACTGTAAAGAAAAACTAGTGGCTTCTGGAGAAGTGGAAAGGGTTGTTTTTCTTGAATGTACCTAGTTGATATCCCAGGCTCATTGAGTGATGGCAGGCTACAGCTCAGCAAGATGGCACAGGGCCACAGTGGCTTTGGGAGTGTCACATGGGCTCTGCTGGGCTGTAGGGTCCTGGGGCTCTTTATCCTCTGATAAATGTGACATTGTGAGAATGACCTAAGGCCCTTGTGACACCATGAAGAATCCCTTGCATGGGGAATTTTTACCTCTGTGAATTAAAACCATGTGAGAGTCTATTGTGTAATGGAGATTTTTCAGTTTTGCCTGATTAGAGACACTTAATAAGAAAAGAGCAGGGTGAGGAAGACAGATTTCCAGAAGAGTGGTTCTGCTAAATTGGTGGGGTCTTAGATGTTTTTACTGCTGAGACATCATATGAGATTCACTTTGCTCAGTCAGCACAGCCAAAAAAATGGACAGCTCAGGGGGATGGCATTAAACAGCTCCATTAAAGCTCACACAACTGGGACTGGGAAGACAAGGGACAGTGTTACTCTGCTCCCAAGCAGGGACAGAAGGACTAGGCAGGATGATGATAAAGGAGTGTGTTGTATTTGCAGTGGATTCAGCAAAGGACTTAAAGCTTTCTTTTTCTTTTTCTTTTTTTTCAAATCCATGCTTGAAGACCAAATTGAAATTATCACGATAGCAGCTGCATGCACTGCTAATGAGGTGTGTCTCTTTCACAACCACTTTTACTTGAGATCACTTCTAGTGAACGTGAAGTATAGAAGGGAACCCTAGACCTCTCCCAGCTGTGACACAGCTAAACCTCTGAGGCAGTGCCACTGCTCTCCACACTGCTTCTTTCAGCTACCAGGCCCCAGCGGTGCCACAGGTCAGCAGAGCATGGTAGCATGCTACCCAGCCAGCAGTCCTGCCTCTGGACCCACTACTGCACAAGCCTCCCTTACTGTCTAAGTGCTGTTTATTCACAGTCAACTTATACACATCTGTTCTTGTGCACTGTTTTGTAGCTTTAACACCTCTTCTGCTCTTCACCACTTTGATGTGACTGTGGTGGCAAGCATATCCTCATCCGTCCTCATGGTGTCCTTGGTAAATAAAGTGAAGCTTTGCTCTTCTTATAGAAGTTACCTGTAGGATTGCTGTGGCAGTCTACAGGGGCTGCACTGTAAGGTTGGGCTGCCCCTTTGCATCAGTTTATACAGCAACTCCTTTCTTCAGGCTGAGGATAGAGTATATATGTGTATACACTCAGTTTCCCCGCCCTCATCACTATCCTTTGGATTTTACAGGTGCATCTTTAGTTGGATAAAGTTTTTAGTTTGATCTTTTGATTGAGTCTTTTAGTTGGATAAAGCATTTCCCTGTTAAAAAGTTGTGAATTGGGACTAAAAAAAAAATAACAATCAAATTCAGATCCTCTCGAGAGCGGTGCGTTAGAGCATTTCCAGCCGCCGGACCGCAGGCACCGCGCTCCGCCCCTGCCCCGTCCCCACCGCGCGGTGCCGGGCTGGGCCGTGCCGTGCCGGGGGAGGAGCGGCGGGAGACGGAAGTGAAAACAAGAGCGAGGGACGGAGCCGCTGCCTGGCAGACGCGCCGCGGGTGTCTTCGTCGCTCTGCGCCCCGCAGCGCCGGGCTGGGTGAGTGAGTGGGGAGTGAGTGGGGTTAGGCGGAGAGGGACTGGGGAAGCCAGAAGGTTGGGGTGAGGCTCGAACTTCGTGCTGCTTCTTGTAACTTGCAAGTTGATTTTGTTGTAATTTAACTCCGTGTCAGGGTGCCGTTAAGCTGCCCGGGGAGCTCACTGCAAGGTGCGGGACTCAGGTCGCTGCCTTAGGGCTGGAGCTTCGCTCCGGGTCGTTACGGCGAGGCTGGTGGTTCGGTGCTGTCACTGTCCCGAGGACTGCCTCCTTCTCGTGTTCCCGCTGTTCCGCGTCCCCACGCGTGGTAATGGGCTTTTCTGCCAGGGTTTTGAAATTCCCCCTTCCAGGAGCTGATCCAGCGAGCGTTTGGTGAAAACCAACAGAAGTTGCGCAGTTCCTCCGTGGTTGCTCAATGCCCCCTGCACGAAGTGGGGTTCTGAGGCTTAGATGCTGCTCTCGTGCTTTGAGAAGTGCAGTGAGTTTCCGAGCGATCGCCTCCTTCCTGCTCCGTCTGGGAGGCTGGAGGTGCAGAGTCACGGGGGTGAGAAAGGAGAGAGGAGCGGTGCTGGGAGCCACGCGAGGCATTTCACCAGGCAGCTTTTTTCTCCCCGTTTGTAGCTGCTTCAAACGGCGTGGAGGGAACCATCCTTTTCGAAAGAGATTTAATCTTTTCCTGAAGCTGTTGCTACAAATAGTTGTTACTACTTTTTTTTTTTTTTTTTTTAACCTGATTACGAGACCTTTGGATCCTTCTTATGGGTAAAGCCTTCTGCTGGTGCCCGTGAACGACGCGTGTACTGCTCACTGTACATAGTGTGCTTTCTTGATATCCCCAGTGTATGGTGACCTGTTACTGTGGTGTCTTTCATTCACAGGGAATGAAAATAATTCTCCCTTTCCTGAGGGAGGAAATCTGTAACTAACTAAAATCCCCTTTCAGAAGAAATTAGCAAAGTTGTACTTCTTGCTTCAGTGGTGAGCAAGCCCACTGAGAGCTCAAACTTTCTTTTCTTCTCACCCTCTCCAGCAGCAGAAAGACCTGGGGGTGGGGAGGGGGGAGGAGGGGGAGGAGGAGGAGACGAAGAGCGGTGGCATTTACCATGCCGAGGATTTTGGGGTATGTTGAGCCAATGTTGGGGCTAGAGCTGCCAAGGTAGCTCTGAATCCTGGTTTCCACACCTCGGGCGGTCCATTGGACTTGGGTACATTTGCAGACTCTTCCGCCTCAAAACCTAAAATCCTTCTGCAGTGCACGGTGAGGTCAGGCTGGGTTTGGGGCGTGCAGCCCACTCGCTGCAGTGTGCCCGTGGTGCCACCTTAAATGTCAGCACAGGAGCTGGAATCTGGCCGTACCGCGGTGTAGGCTTACAGCCCGCTCTGCTGTGTTCTTTGCCTTACTTCAACCATACCAAAATAGTCGGGATCCACTACCTAAGATGTCATTGTAATGTTACTTATCTGAGGTGAAACTGAAGCCCTTATCTCTGGCGCTGGGCAGCAATTAAGTGCGGAGGTTGCCTTTTAAAGGTAATTTGTTGCTCGCATTGATGTGGAAGGGAGGGAGACGCTAGAGTTTTGCTCTGAGTTTTGCTCTGAGTTTTTTTTTTTTTCTTTCCTCTCACTGTTACGATGTGGCTGTTGGTATTTTAATTTAATTTGCAGTTTTCGTTTGAGGCTTGGTGTTAAGATCTGTCATGTCTGTAGCATTGTTTTGTCAATGCGAAGTTATGCTGTAGAACTAAAAGTCACAGGGTTTTTATTTTCTTCTGGTTAACTTCAAAGTTGTGACATTTTGATGTTGTACTGAAAGTGTCAAACCATAATGTGTTGGGAAACAAGTTCTGAGCTGATGACATGGCAGCATGTGATATTCATTTTGTCAGAGACAAATGTGCCAATGATGGTAACTTCTTCCACACTTGGATTTAAAGGATGCTATCAATTCATGCTTGTCTCAGCACTGAGGTTTATTTTTTTTTTCCCCCACAGCATTCTATCAGATATTTGACAAATACTTTTTACTGTGTGCTTTTCTTGAGATACAAGAATTTCAACACCAGAAACCTTGAAAGTAGGAAGAGCATGTTACCAGCTCCCTGTGTTTCTTCCTAATCAATTCAGCACAGCAAAACATGGGAATGAAAGTACAAGTAATGGCAGACTTTGTGTAGATTTTTGGCTGTCCTTATACTATGGAGGAGCAGTAGGGAGTGCTTTTTGTTTTTTATCTTCCTTAATTTAAAAGTGTAATCCTCTTCTGCAGGCATCAAGTCCTTAGCTTGGATCCTTGAATACTGAACACCATGAGCAACTACAGCGTGTCTTTGGTTGGCCCAGCTCCTTGGGGTTTCAGGCTTCAAGGTGGCAAGGATTTCAACATGCCCCTGTCCATCTCTCGGGTGAGTGTGTTCTCCCCTCTGCTTGTGTTTGGGTATCCATCGTGCTGCAGTCAGCCTGCAGCCTTCTTCAGACTACAAAGCCTTGAGCTGTGTGTGCTGGGCTCAACTTGCACTGTGGTGTGGGGGTCTGGGAAAATACATCTTTGTTGTCTCAAGGTTCCAAGGAAATTTTACATCTTCATTTAAAGTCTAATCTATGTTCTTATCTATGCAACAAAACAGGCAGAAAGCACCCTTGAATTCCCCTCCCTGCTCACCCTCAGAAAGTTGTGACATGAGGAAGGAGGCTGGCAGGAAATGGGCAATTTTCTGCCTGTGCAGTTTACTTGGGAGGCAGCGGGGGAGAATCACTCATGTTCCCATTGTTTATTCAGCAGTTCTTAACAGTTGGAGGATCTTTTGGTGTCTGTTCTTTCAAATCCCACTATTTGCAATAAGCTGCACTTAAGAAACGGGAGTTATAAACGGTAATTCATGGGTATGTGCCTGGGTGGAAATACTGCTTTCTCAAGAGTTTTTTTTTATGCAACAAGTGCTTTTAACTGATGTTCACAGGAGTGTTTTATAGAGTATGTGCTCTTAACTGATACTGAAAGGATTTGAGGAACTAAGTCAAAACAAATGTGATCTTTGTATCCAGGCATTATCTACCAGTTCCCAGCTTTTGAAATGGCTTTTTTTTTTTTTTTTTTTTTTTTTTTTTTTCCAGTGATGAATTTTCTTTCTATGTGAGCTGAGTTTCAAAGCCTTCCTCAGATGACTAAAACACTTAATTTACATCGCACGGGGACTAGATTTTATTATTTAAAATAATAAACCTATTGAATTTATGTGAGTACTGGAAATCTCTGGGTGAAGAGTTATGGCTCTGGACTCCAGCACCTTTAAACTGTGCTTTGCACGGTGGAAGCATTCATATATAAATGACTTCTTCTTTGCCAGCAGCCTGCCTCCCCCTCCTGCGTATTTATGCAGTTTAGTGACAAAGATTAATTATTTTTTACACCTGTTGGGACTGCAGAATTCCTGGGAGAGGGAGCAGGTTTCTATTTGGGTTTATGCATCATGGCAATATTTTTAGCTAATCTCAACTAGCGATTTGCAGCCTGCCAGTTCATTTAGACTTGGCTAATCTTAGTCACCTGTGGATTATTATTATTATTTTTTTTTTTTTTTGTGGCTGGGGTAAAATGGAGAGCTGTGAAAATACCTGTGTACAGATAATATCTGAACTAAAAGGGGCTGAACTACAGTTTATTCCCAAATTCTCAGAATTTTCAAGCTGAGCTATTACTCGGTTTCTCGTTCAGCATCTGGTTACTCCTGCAGCAACACGATGCTTGAAGTGGGAATGTTCTTCCAATGTGATGGCTGAAGGACTACTGTAGCAAGGAAAGTTTTTAGAAGCGTGGACTGTTGCCACCATGGGGTGTTTGCAGGCGGTACTGATGAGCAGCTCTGGGCCGTAGGCAGGAAGACACAATGATCAGCCAATTTTAGTAACAGTAACACTTGTTTTTTTGTAAGGGGCTCTGCCATCCTGGAGAGCCGCAGTGCAACCTGGCTGGTAAGCATATTTTCCATCTGAAAAGTTCTATAGAGGAAACAAATGGATTTAAATTAGTCTAGATGAGTATTTTATCACGTGAATTAAATGTGCTGTTTGTATGGAGTAGCAGGAAGGAATCAGCCTAAACAGCTGCGTTTAAAAGCCTGAATTATGGGATTCCCTAATGACAAGTGTCAGTGCTCATGTCAGCAGATCATAATGAAAAATGGGTTCTGAGGTGGTTTTAAGGTTCTAAACATACACGGAGAGGGGAAGAACAATACCCCATTCACATGTTGGACCTCAGCTCTGCTTTCTGACTGAGTCATTTCTTTTTATTTGGAGTTAAGGACATCCAGATTTTGCACTTCTCTAGTGTAACGACAACAACACTTTTCAATCAAAAAAGCATTTAGGCTGGTATGCCAGTCCAGCTTTGGTCTGGTAGCTGGAAGAATTCGATGCTGTGTTCCTGGTATGCTAGAACAGCCTGTACCATTCACCCCCACCCCTTCTTTTCCTGACAAAGTATAAATGCCTTCCTGCATCTGAAAACCACTAATTAAATTATTTTAGCATAACAGTAATGAGGCAGTAGAATTATGTTCTTTGGCAAGGAGGACTTTTTTTTTTTCCTTAAATTTTTGCTCTTGATGCTGAGGATGAATCCGGCTGTTTCACTGAGGGCTAATTTCCTGCTTTAGTTTAGTTTTGGCTCCTTGAATTTAAGTTCAAATAAAGTGCAGTTTATGAAGCATAGGGAGTACTTTGTTTTTGAATGCTGTTTATCCAGAAAGCTAATGTCTTATTACTGATAATGGGAACAACATTTCATAGGCTTCCTGGAGAAAGCTTTCAGTAATTTGTTTGGCTTGCAATGGTATGCCATTTCAGTGGGAGTGGTAGTTGCCTCTAGGTGGTAAAGCCAATCTGTTTTTTCGTTCTACTGTTTTTTTGTGTATGTTTGTTTCTTTTCCCCTAACACTAGTACACTGTAGATGTATTTGCCACATCATAACCAACAGTTTATCTATTATAGTGCTTCAAAATTGCTGCATATATAGCTGCAAACATCTCACAGTAAGTAGTGTACACCATCTTGGGCATATCCTTTGTAGGTACTGGCATGAATCAATGTGTGCAGTGCTTGGAGCTGCATGCATTTGTATATGACTGGACTTTAACTAGGTGGCTCCTTGCAAAGGAACTCTATCCAGTGCCATTACATGGGTCAGAAATAGGCACGTAGCAGGAGTTGGTGTGTTGGGAGTGGTTGTTCTAGGTTTGTGCTACAGGTGTGGAGCAGAGGTGTTGCTCTCACAAGAGAGTCCTCACTGGAGAGGAATTTGCTCTATGAGTTTAAAAAAAAAAAACAAAAAACAAAATTGATCTTTGCCCTTGAACCAGGAATGAAGGGCGGGCTGAGGTTGTAGATCTCTCTCTTCTACTAACAATAAACCATTCAAGTGGCTCAAGCTACCACATGCTGCTGTACTGTGAGGCTTCCAGGTATTTAATTCTGAAGTGGCATTTGTATAATTAGAGGCTGCAAGCTATGGCCAGTTAACTCATGCTGAAGAAAGTAGAAATTGCAGGAGATGACATGTGCAAACTAACGTTACTGAGATGCTGTCCTCACTTGTTCCTTGTGGTGTTTTACATTAATTGAAGGAGCAAGGAGAACATTTGTTTGAAACCAGTGCTGTAATGCAAAATAAAAAAGTGGAAACCTAGAGCAAGTAATAACTAATTACTTTGGGATGCGAATTTTATTTTTAGCTATTGTAGGAAATGTCTGACTTTCCCTATGAAAGCAAAAACTTAATACCTGTCCATCTTTCTAATACATACAGTTACGTGAAATTACTTTTGTCATCGTGCAACTTGATGCAAATGAATTGATCATCTTTGAATCAATGCAGGCCACTACACAGGCAGCTGCTTATTTGGCATCTCCTTCTCAAGCTTCAGTTAGCAGTTTCTTGCTAGGTGCTTGGGACATGAGGAAGTGTCTCCATTCTTTGGTATTCACCTACTGTAAGAATTGCATCTCAGACCATCATTATTTCTCAATTATTTCCATGTAAAGTTTGTTTCCCAGTTGCTAAATATCAGCTGGACCAAAAAAAGTTGGTCAAAATATTTGAAATGGTGTTATTTCACTTTCAGTTTGCCAATACTGAATGAATTGCTATGACTAACATCTATGCACATCTGAGATCCTGGATGAATCCTAGTGATGTTTCTGTTACATCCATTTGGATGTATTAATCTCTTTAGATTTTGCGTTAACATTATATCTGTATTACTTTGAGGGTGATTTATTTAGTCCTCAGTGCTCAATAAACATAACTAGAATAAATTTGGTAAACATAGCAGTTTTGGCAATTGTATTCCTACAGTTGCCTTCTGCAGAATGAAATGAGTAGCCCTTGGTACTGAAGGATTATTCATTAATGTGGTAATGAACTGACAGGTTTAGGTATTCATTCTAAATGCATTCCTGAAACATTTGTAACATACCAAAATAGGGACACAAGTCTTGCAGCGAAGTCTGTAAACAATTCTTATCTCAGTTTTATGACAGTAATTGCTGCCAGAAACAAGGAAATACTGAAGTGATACTATAGTAGTGTATGAGAGTTGCTCTGAAAGCAATGCCACCTACTTTATCACGTTGACCCACAACATCAGAAGTGGATGTTGATGGTATGGCTGTAGAAGCTGAACCTTTCCATCAATATTCCCTTACATTTTGTTGCTGTGTGAAAGATGGCAGCTGAGAAGCAGTCTGACAAAATGACTTCTGACTTGGAACTGCACTTGAAGCAAAGGTGTGGAACTGAGTTCCTACATGTAGGGAAAAAAATGGAACCCATTGGCTTTTTTTTTTTTTTTTCGTATCAGAAATCCCCTCAGAAATAGCCCTGTATTTTTGCATTTATTCACATATCAAGTACATTTTTCCTTGTTTTTGTGGCAAGGTTGTAGCTGATGAAAGACTCATGATAATGAATTTATCAGCATGCAGCACCCCCAGGGAACAGGTAGACAAGCAGCCCACCTTGGGATGAAGTGGAGAATGAGTATGCATGCAGCATATCAGTAGCTCAATCTGTGTCCCACGTGAGCATGCTGAAATTCTTCGTGCTGGTGTCAGATGATCATCACCAGAGCAATTGTCCTCCTCCACATTCTATTTTTCCATCCTTCCTACCCAGGTATCCATGTGGTTATCTATTAAGTTTATGGGGATTAAGCATATGTATGCTCTTTGCATAATATTTGTTTATACAGAAGCTTGGCCTTTGGTCTTCCTAATGTTAGGAAGCAAACTATTTGATTGTCATTAACATCTGTGAAAATTAATTTTAATGATAATTAAGTAAAACAGTGGTGTGAATAGGCTCCAGGTACGCCAGCTTAGATTGATTAGAATTTGGCTGAGCCC